GAAACTAAATATTATTTTTTCTTCAAAAACAATTGTAGTGACTTCTCGTGCACTACAGATTTTATATTTGCAATTTTTTATTTTAAAGCAATAAATACATAAAATGTGTAAGGGAGATTTGAAATGACAAACATATGTTATGCCTACAAACATTATACTAAAGTCTATAAACCTAAGGTTTGTATTTATTAACCTTTTTCAAAACCGCTTATTAAAGATGCTCTAACATATACTATTCAAAAGCGAAGTGACATTGTAATAAATAAAGCTTTTGTTCAACAAGATTCAGTATTGTGCAAAAAAACAGAGCATCTCCCCAACAAGCTACAAGATTTATCTTAATCAAAACTTCACACAGTTTTCTCGATCTGACATGGTAATAAAATAAAACTTTTGTTCAACAATATTCAGTATAGTGCAAAAAACGAGCATATCCCCAACAAGCTACAAGATTTATCTTAATCAAAACTTCACACAGTTTGCCCGATCTCATACTACAAATAGTCTGCAATCAAATAAACTGAAATAAATCTAGATGAAAGAGCTTTTTTCATGCATCATTCAAGGGAAATTCAAACACAACATCTTTCCCGGAAAGCTTCCTGTAAACCCCAGCAAATGTCTCCAGCTTGTTCTCAGTGTCGTTCTTAGCCTTGGGGTCCAAGAAGACCTGCCATTCAAGGAAAACAAGGTTATAGAAACAGTTCTAACTAAAAATTAGTTAGAAAACGTAACAAGGTTTAGCTTGATTGAAGAAATAAACATTATATCTTAAAAGTTCCAATATTCACCAGAGGCATTTTAAACACCTTATTATTTGAATCTGTTTCGCAATTCACCTTCTCAATACATCGCAAAATGTCAAAAGGGGTATCGTATTTCAAAATTTGAATGTTTTCTCTTTTAGCTAATCTGTAGTGGTGGTAATTGCAACTTTCTTTAAGAAAAATAACTTTAATTGGAAAAGGAAGCAGTTACCTTCATGATCTTTGATCCATCGAGTCTGTATCTGACGCGCTTCCCAACAATTTCAGCTGGGTAAACAATGTCCTCGAGCATGGCATCATGCACGGCTGTGAGTGTTCGTGTTCTTGGCCTTTGAACTGCAGACCCCTTCTTGGGCGGGCGAACTATCCTTCTGGTAGCAATAAGTACCACTTCCTGCACAGTAACAAATTGACTAATTGAGCCAAAACATCAAATGCACATTTAATCTCAAGACAAAAATGTAATACCCTTCGTAGACTAAATATCTTCTCTCCTGTGCATCACTCACACAATATATCTCAAATTTACCTTTCCACTGAACTTCTTCTCTAGCTCTCTCACAAGCCTAGGCTGAATCTTGCGGAATGACTTCCTCAGACGGTAAGGCACATGAATCACAACAGCTTTCTTGCCTCCAGAAACATCAATTTGCCTGAAAAGAAGTTTATACATTGATTAGTTATCATAATACTCGTAAAGTAACCATGCATCCACAGTTTTAAGACTTACGAGGCAGAGTTGATGTATAGGTCCTTCAAGTCACTCTTGATCTCCTGGTTGGTGTTTTCCAGATCAAACAAAGCCTGTGGTTACAAGAAAGTTGCACAGCTCATGATAAGTACAACACTCAAATTTATCACTGAAAACCACTTGATTTGGGCCCATGTTATTAAGACCTGAGCAACATTTTCCTCAAACTCAGATGGCTCAGCATCCTTGTCCTTGTGAATCTTTTGTAAAGCAGTATACATCTTGAAACTCTGCACAAAGAGGTGTGCAGTAAAACAACCGATAAATCAACAAGTTGAACAACTGAAACAAAATTACCTAATTATGTACACAAATATGTCATTGGAAGGATAAATAACGCCTTTAATCTTACTCATAACTAAAGGAAAAACCATGCACCTTAGATCTCCATCTATTCATCCAGAAAAACCCATTCTAGAATGCTATTTCAATATCATAAAATAAAATCCTATAGGCTAGTCAGTGTTATAATCTAAATGTTCAATTTTGAGTGCAATACAACCAAAGTTCCACTTCCAGTTCCAAAAAACATTAACAACAAAGAATAATAGTTTTCCATATGTAGAAAGAAAAGAGTTAACTCGTTCCATCAGTACAAAAATCAACTAACTGATATGCAATTTTTTCAACCAATCCGACCAAGCGTACATGGAACCATAGACAATCAGCAATCACACTTGAGACAAAATAC